CTAATAAATCCTATCGGGTTTACGAGAGCTGGTCAGTGTAAACATGACTTACCAGCGCCATTAACACGTTAATGCCTTTTGGGTGGGTTGTGAAGAAAAAGGAATAAAATTCCTAAGGGTAAGGGATGTACTTCCAAGGACTGAATTGTCTCCCTTTGGAATTCATATGTTGAAACCCTAGACTCCAGGTATTTGGAGATGGGACCTTTGGGAGGTAATTAGGTTTAGATGAGGTCATGAGGAGACAGTTTTCATGATGGGATTAGTGCCCTTATGGAAAGAGACGGGGGCGCCTGGGTGGCTCAGTCCGTTAAGTGACTGACTTCGGCTTAGGTCATGATCTCACGGTCCGTTAGTTGGAGCCCCTGCGTCTGTGCCCACAGCTGAGAGCCTGGAACCTGCTTCAGATTCTGGGTCTCCCTCTCTTCCTGCCCCTCCCCACTCTCTGTCGCCCTCTCTCTCAAAAATTTAAAAAAAAAAAAAAATTAAAAAAAAAGAGATAGAGACACCAAAGAGCTTGATTCTTCCCTCTTTCTCTCCACCTGCCTGCACAGAACAAAGACCATATGAGGACACAGCAAGGAGACAATTTTCTGCACCTCCAAGACAGAAGCCCCAGCAGACACTGAGCCTGCGGGACTTCCAGACCCCAGCACTGTGAGAAATAAGCCACCCGGTCTTAAGTTCTGGAAAGCAGCCACCTTGAATTAAGACACGTCATATAGTGGAAAGGGATGAAATTTAGCACCAGAAAACCTGTGTCAACTCTTGTCCTTGCTTACCCTCTTTGTGTCTCAGTTTCCTTATCTATAGAATGGGGAACTAGAAGTCCCTTCACTCCCCATATCACAGGTCATGGTGAGAATCCAGAGAGATGAGGTTTGTAAACTGCCAACAGAATCGCTCTTCTGTTGGAGGTCTTTAATGATGTTTTGCTGGGAATCTGCCACTAAAATTGAAATCCAAAAATTGCTTAGGCAAAAGAAGTAAAAATATGGGAAATGGGAAAAGAGGTAGGTTAAGAGCTCTACTTTTTTTTTTTTTTTAAGTGCTGGAGGGTTGAACTCATGCAAGCAAATTGTTTTAAGTGAATTTTTATGGTTTGGTTGTCTAAAAAACAATCTGACATAGCTTTCAAAATCTTGTTTATTAGAACTCAAAATTCTTGTAATTCTACTTGTTTACGTTATGTGATTATTTTATATTTTATAGTGTTTATATCTTATATGGTATTTTCTATGACACTGATATACAGAATCTGACAAATTGGCAAATAATTAGTTATATGAAAATATAGACTGGATATGAAATACAGTAACTAAGATATAAATGACCTGAGGTTAAAAATGGTACCTGTTTTTCAGGATTGAACTTATCCTATGTTAGCACAAATGGCACCTGGTGGCAGTAGGTGATACTTAAGCCCAGCTCTTATGGACTTATTTTCTGACTTTTTAGAAATACATATTTTTTTTATTTAAAATTTTTTTTTCAACATTTATTTATTTTTGCGACAGAGAGAGACAGAGCATGAACGGGGGAGGGGCAGAGAGAGAGGGAGACACAGAATCGGAAACAGGCTCCAGGCTCCGAGCCATCAGCCCAGAGCCTGACGCGGGGCTCGAACTCCCGGACCGCGAGATCGTGACCTGGCTGAAGTCGGACGCTTAACCGACTGTGCCACCCAGGCGCCCCTATATTTTTTTTTATTTTAGAGCAGATTTAGATTTATAGAAAAATAGTGAAGCTAGGACACAGAGTTCCTATAAACTCCATACCTAGTTCCCTCTATTGTTAATGTCTGTCACAACAAATGAACCAACATGGATACATTATTATTAACTAGAGTCCACACTTTATTCAAAAGCCCTTAGTTTTCATCTGTTGCTCCTTTTTGGTTCCAGGGTTCCATCCAGGACTCCACGGTGCATTCAGCTGTCATGTTTCTTTTAAGCCCCTCTTGGCTTTCATGGTTTCCCAGACTTTCCTTATTTTTGATAACCTTGATGATTTTAAGGAGTATTGGTCAGGTATTTTGCAGAATAGCACTCTGTTTGGTTTGTCTGATGTTTTGCTCATGGTTGGACTGAGGTTATGAGCTTTGGGGAGGAAGATTTATAGACACTACTTAAATTTGGGGATATTCCAGTAGACAGTCAGACAGTTCTCTGGCACAAGGAAAAACCTTTTTGGCCTGAAGCAGCATGGTCCACGGTGGATATCTCACAACTGGGAAAGTGCTGAAAATACAAAGAGAATCTTCCAGCAAAGTTTAGTAGGCTTAACTAATCCTAGGATGCCACAGATTGCCACAGGTCTCTTCATTATGTTAAATCCTTTCTTTCTGAGGATTTTCAACACAGTCTCCTGTTGTATGCTTTTTCTGTTTTGTTTTTTGTTTTGTTTTGTTTTGTTTTGTTGGGGGGAAAGACTTTCAGTTTCGTAATAGAATTTAACTTGAAAACAGTGTTTATTTGAGAGAAATCCTCTTATAGGCAATGTCAGTGAACTACCTTAGATATCTGAAACTCCATGTTATCCCAAACATAAATGCATGAATGAGAACATGGGGGTCTATGTGCTGGAAAGAACTCTGTAACCCTGCTTCTCACAAACATTCCTTCCAGTGGAAGGGTCAAATTAATGAACTCTCTCCCACACCACGAACCTGGGACATGATTTAAAAATGGAATGGAAAATACAGTCTCTAGACGCAGGTCATACCGGGACAGGCTGATAGTATACAACCCAGGACAACCAAGTCTGAATTTGAATCCAAGAAATTGCAGGGCTCCTGAAATACTCCTCCCAAGAATTAACTACTCTATTTAATTTTCTACAAGGGCTATGCTGTTAGTAAAAGGTAAAACAATTTTCCAAATATAGAAAAAAATATAAACATTATGTAACACACATGCATATGCTCTGTCTGTAGCTTGGTTTTTATAGTCGACAAACATGCCTTGATGTATGTGTGAGTGTTTTGTGACTCAATCTCCTTATAATCCCACTGTAATCATTGTAATGATTCTGTTCTGTGCAGTTGAAACAATAATAGCTTATACTTATTCACAGCCTATCTGTGCTTTACATATTTTATCTCATTTAATCCTATCTAGATACTCATTGTCCTCTTCTATAAAGAAGGAAATCAAGACTTAGAGATGTTAAGTATCCTGTCTAAGGGTACACAGAGAAAAGTCAGGATTTGAATTCAAGGCAAGGACTGTTTGGATCTGAAGTCTCAGGTCCTACTGGGCTAAACTACCTCTGCGTCACTGAGTTTATTTCAAAATGCCTTCTGCGAGAGCAAGGACCATATCTCTTCTTAATAGATGGGGTCTCACAATTCCATTCATATGGCACAGGTGTAGTAATATTTGAAAACAAGGAAGAGGAGGATGTATTATTACTACTGATTATCACTGTCAAGGTAAAAAAAAAAAAAAAAAAAAACACAACTCTTATCTCCTAATTGACTCCCAGGCCAATAGGAAGATAAGAGAAGCCCAGCCACTCAGCAGCCTTGTCACCCAGAACTAGAGCTACAGTGGCTCAAATATCCATGCCCTAAAATACAGAAAATTTGAGGTACAGGAAGGCCAACAGATCAGGAGATGAGTGCCATTGAGAAGATAGTTTGTGATAGTTCCCAAGAGAAGGGGACATGCCACATGTTGGGGGCCACACTGGGAAGCACCAGGGTCAGTCAGAAGGCAGAGGAAGTGGGGGCGAACTGTGGGCAAGAGCCTTTGTTTTGGTTTCTATGGGAAGGAAGAAGCGAGGCAGGGTGGACAGTCTGGGGACTGGCTCATGTGAATAACTTCAGCAGGCTCTGGGGCTGTGCCTAGCTGTCTGGTACCTAGCCCTGGCATGGTTAGGGCAGGTGGAGTGTGAGAGCCCAATAAAGGAGGTGGGTTGCAGTGTGGACTCTGGACTGTTTGGCTTGTATTTGAAAAGCACTCACGGACAAGTTGTTTACTATTTCTAGGAATTGGCTAACCTTAGGAGGTAGAGTCCCCTTAAGGTCAGTAAGACCCCCAAATGTCAAAATGTTTGAATACAGAAAATAAAAAACATGGTTGATAGACTCCAGCTAAGAGGCTTTCTGGCCATTCTAAATTGGGAAAGGCATATGAATGTACCCATAAGCCAGGCAGAAGTACCCAAGAGCTAATTTAGCTGAAAACAATAGAGATGGGTCATAATGCCGTCATATGTAGAGGGAGAAGAAAACAAAACCAATGAAAACTGGAAAATAACCTGGGCCTAGATTATCTGGGTTACCTTAAAAAACTTGTCACAAGTTAGTGCTTCATAAGAGAGCACACAAAACTTAGTGTCCATCAGGCATTAGGCATTAGCGGGTAGAATTGCGACTATTTCTCTTATCCAAATCATTAACAAGCAACATTCTGCACTCTAGTATATGTCGTTTTTCTCTCTCTCTCCCTCCCTCCCTTCCACCTTCCTTCCCTTCTCCTCCCTCTCTTCCATAAACACATAGCAATAGTTTGCCTAAATGTGAGCTCATCTGTGAGACACTACCCATCCGTCCCCCTAACACACACCATATCACACACTGTTAAGAGTCTGTGTTTAGTGGGCCCACGTTGGCAGAAACGGGCCTTTTTATTTTTCTCGAAAGCTACAGTAAGAAATACATAGCACAAAGTAGACTCTGACCTGTGTCTTTGGCCTCACAGATTCCTTAATACCAGAAGCAGTATTTTCAAGCCCAACAGTGCTGTTTACTCCAGGAAGAGTTTTCTTCATAATCACGGGAAAATCAAAAACCACACTATCTCAAGTTGCGGCAAACACTTTATTCTCCTCATTAACGTCTCAAAACTGTCAGAAGCCAAAGCTTGAAAAAGCCCTATGGCAATAAATGTGAATGTTTTACAAAGAGAAGAAAGAGATTGCAAGAAGTTATGTTTCTGTTCGCCGTATTTTTGAGTATTTTTCCTTGGCGAAGTCCTCAACCAAATTCGAATACATCAGACACAGTGCCGATAGAAGTAAAAGAAGTAATCTGTAAAGAATATCCCAGCAAAATAAGGGTCCGTTGAACAGTCAGCTAAATCCTGTCAGAACAGAAGAAAAAAGGAGAATGACTAAAGTAAAAATGAGTTAAAGTAATTGACTGACTGAATTGAATTGATCGATGGATTGATTTAATGGTCTGTTTCTTTCTCACCGGAAAAGAAAAAGAAAAAGGGGGAAAAAAAAGAAAGAAAGCTTACCGGTGCAGCTACACGGAAGTGGTATGTGCTATCAAAGAATGGGGCTACAGGGAGGCTCCAAATGTGCTGATAGCCCTAAATAATGAATGAAAGGGAGATCCATTTCATAACCACATTTTACTCTCAGTTGGAAAGACTATAGTCTGAGAAAGCATTTCCTTGACTACTCTAGGAAAGGTATCCATGACAATAGCTTTTGACAGGAGTCGCTAAAACAGTCTGCAGTTTCTGAAGGACACATGGAGGATGCTGAGCAAAGCCCTGTGACCAGGGTCAGCCAGCAAGGAGAAACAGCGGCATTTGGCTCGCGGCATCCCTCTCCTGGTGGGGAACAGAGGCTGTGCCGCAATTCTAGACACACTTCTTCTGGAACAGGGAGGGAATGCCCAGGGGCTGGAAAACATTACCTGTGTCATCTCCTGGGAGACCTCTTGGTGGCTTTGTATCCCTTTGGCTTCCCTTTTACTATGGAAACATATATTTCCGAGGGTGAAATTGCATTGGAAGACTATCAATGGTTCTGTTGTGCTTCAAGAGACAAAGGAGAGAAAGGGCAAATGGAAAGCAGTTACCAGCTCCACTAGGCGATACCTTGATAAAAAGAGGTGCGAATGGGAGCGTAACTTGGAAATCTATTCAAAGTTTCTTGCACACATTTTATTACACAAAGCTCATCAATGCCAGTATGCCCGTTCCCATCTCATTATTACAGAAAGAAACTCAGTCTCAGATGATTACTGTCATGGACTTAATGTTTGTGTTCCCCTCCCCCAAATCCATATGCTGAAATCCCAACTTCCAATGTGATGTGTTAGGCAGTAGAGTCTATGGGAAGTGATTAGGTCTTGAGCATTGAGCCTTCATGGGTGGGATTACTGATCTTATCGAAAGGACCTCAGAGAGCTCTCTTGTTCCTTTGCTATATGGACACAGTGAAGAGATGGCCTTCTATGAAACAGGAAGCAGACCCTCACCAGATGCCAAATCTGCCAGTGCCTTGATATGGGACTTCCCAACCTCCAGAAGGGTGGAAAATAAATGTTTGTTAAGGCACTCAGTCTATGGTATTTCTGTTATAGCAGCCTGAATTGACCAAAACAACTACTGGGGTAGCATATGATAGAGTCCCTAAGATCTAATCTCATGACTTAAATCACCCTAGCATCAGAAGTTCTTATCCCCACAGATTAGAAAATACTTTTTGAAGATATCCATTCTCTTTTCTCTGGCAACTGAATTTGCATCTACCTGAAGTTTCCAGGATTTCAGATTCTACACACCCCTGATCTGAGGAGATACTGTTTGAAGCAGCAAGGTGCACAAACACAGGAAGGGATGTGGGGGTGAGCCCCATTAGAATTTACCTCCCTTAAAAGCTATCAGAGTAGAAGTCCTGCCAGAAAGAATGACTCTTCTCTGGAGGTTAGCCCATTAATTATCATCAAGAGGCTGAGATCCATCTGTCCTTGGAAATGATCTTATTGCACAAGTGGGACAACCTACAATCTCAGTTGAGTATGTGTGTTATTTTTAAATCACACATATTGGACAAATGGCTCTTCACCTAAAAAGCCTGATTTAGTGGCTCAAGATGGTTTTCTGCCACTTCAGGGGACATACCGTGTCAGCTTACTTCCTGCCATTGAAGCTAGGAATGAAGGAGGAAATGCTATTCCAGGCTACTCAGGGAGTGCTAGAAAACAGTACATTTAGCTCTTGCTCTGCATGAAATGTGATGGGCTCTGAGTCACGAAACACTTGCTGCTTGAAACAAACCTTTCCAAGGCAAGCCGTTGGGTTGAGTGTCATGAACTCATTGTAGAAGCAAAGTTGATGAGGGAAGAAGTATGAAGCCCAAGTGAAACAGAAGAAGGGACAGATGGAGGAGGAGTAACAGAGCTGGGAAAGCAGAGAGGGAGCGTGGAGGACAGAGAAAAGGAAAAGAGAGGCAGAAAACAAAGGGGAGAAGAGAGGAAATGTGGAGGGGGGGAGAAAAGGAGAGACTATAATCAAGAGACACAAAATAAAAACCATCTATCTTCCTGATGAGCAGCTCATTGCATAATTTGAGTGAAGTGGGTCGAAAGTCTTAGAAGTACCATAGTTATTTTAAATATTTGGTACGAATAGATTAAATTAGAGCTTTGTGATTTTGAAGGAAAGGTACTGATAATAAAAGCTACAATTGAGGCGCCTGGGTGGCTCAAGTTGGTTAAGTGTCCGGCTCTCGCTTTTGGCAGAGGTCATGATCTCACGCTTTTGTGAGTCTGAGCCCCACATCTGTGATGCCACCATAGAGCCTGCCTGGGATTCTCTCTCTCTCCCTCTCTCTCTGCCCCTCTTCCGCTCACACTGTCTCTCTCTCAAACAAAATAAAATAACTTAGAATTTTTATATAAAAAAAGAGCTATCATTTATTAAGTGTCTCATATGTGCCAGGAAAGGGCAACGTTTTTACATCTCTCATCTCACTGGGAAGGCAGGAAAGTGATGGTTTAAAGGATGGGCTGAGTTTGAAACCCAACTCTACCATTTACTGTCTGCGAGTTTCAGGACAAGTGTGTTTGACCTCCCTAGACCTAAGTGTTCCCATCTGAAAAATATAAACTAGAAGAGAAATACCGAACTCAGAGGGTTATTGTGAGGATTATATGACCCACCATTAAAGTGTAGAGTGTGTGGCATAGGCTCTGTGCTCAGCAAATGGTAGCTATTAATTTCACTATTCTTAACAGCGGTTCCCACAGCAGCTCTACTTGTTCCGGTCTTATTTCAAACTTGTTTTACAGACAAAAACAACTCAGGATAAGTAGTTTCTCCAAGGTTACAGAATTAGTAAGTGGCAGAGACAAAATGTGAACCCTGGTCTGCCCAACTCCAAACTCTGACTCCTTGAACTCCCCTGGGGAGAGGGGGTGGTGTCGGCCTCAGCATTGCTAGCAGGGACTCGCCCAACTGCCCAGCCCCCCAACCCAGGGACTGTGCTATTACTCTTGCTCCTACCCTAATTCAAAGGGACACAGTCGGGGGGGAGTCTGCAACTTGAGAGCATCAAACCCAAGACTGCTCCCATTTTACAGGTGCTGAGTGTGAATCCTTAGGGTCTTTCCATTCACTGGAGGAGCCTGGAAGATCCCAGCCTTCATTTTGAAAACTCCCTAGAGCTGGCCCACCTCTCAACCCAACTACCATCCGCCGGCATGGACTGATAACTTCCCACCTTCTAACTTACTGATCAACTGTGAAGTAAGTTCAGACTTCCTATTCAGATAATGATAGAAGCGGAATTGTTTTCTACAGTTATGCACTTACTTGATTTCCAGAGAGAATTTGACATTGGCAGGTGTGTGCTTATTAACAGGAATATTGTAATTGTAGTTTCCAGAGCTAATTATGGAAAAAAATAAAACCACAAATCAAAATACACAGGAAAGGCTTCAAAAGGCTTTTGTTACTCATTAAATACTACGTGAACTGTGAAATGCTCTATAACAAACACAGAAAATCAAATTTAGCACAGGAGAGTTCTATGTTTTCCAGAGATGTACCTGTCAAGTTTCAAAGTGATCTCTTTTAGGTCTTAATATATAAAATATACCACAGAGATTTATGGTTTGTTAGAACACACAGACAAAATGACGGGAAGCCAAATCCCAGGCCAAATGCATAAAACTGAGCACACCGGAAATGACTCCAGTCCCTGTTAAGGAGACACAGATTTCGGAAGACAAATGAGGCAAAGGCAAACTAACAATCCCTCTGGAAAGGAGGACTGGAAATAATGAATACCAGCTTTTCTATCCTGAATCGCTCCCTTTTCGGCAACATTAGCAGGAAATACCACGCACGTTCAGAACTTGAATCAACTAGTGTTATTATAGTCTGAATCACCATTTCATAAGGGAGAAAACTGCACCACAGAAAGACTTATACAGAGACACGCCCCCAACCCCCCGACCCCCACCCCCCAACACACACATCCCCTTTAAGAGAGATACTTGGGAGAAAGCGGGACTTCCTGGGACTCATACTGGAATGAAAACCCCAGCAGAAAAGCATATTATATCTAACACAAATTCTTATGTCCGGGCCATACCTTGAATTATATGGAGAAACAAAACCAGGTAAGTTGGAAAAAGAGCCAGGGTCATTTTAGATTCTCTTTAATAACACTAAAGTAGGTTGTTAAAAATGAGGAAGCAGTTGTTAAAACTGATCTGAATTGAGATCAGGAGAGCCTTGTTCTACCAGAGGAAGCTTAGATAAATGGAATTTACTTCCTACCACATGCCCCCCAGCATCTGCATGCAGTAGCATCTCACACATGAGAAATGGACACTCAGGGGGAATGAACTTACCTTGTCAAAGTTCTGGTATTTGAACCCGAATCATCCTACTCTTCTTCATTATGTCACCCTAACACAGTAATTAATGTCTGTCTCTGAATTGTTTAAGCTCACTGAAGCTCAGGTTCCTTAATGGCAGAATGGGGATCAACTAGACCAACCTCATAGGGACTTTGTGAGAATTCGATGACATAACGAATGTCAAAGCCATAAACAAATCATAACGCACCAGACAACTTATTTTTAAAGCTCAGTATAATCAAGCCTGAAGCCTGAAGCCTACATTACATTAGGTTGAAAAAAGCAATAAGGCTGAGAATGCAAAGGATTTGTGACACCAGTTCCAAATACAGGGCCTTGCCTTTAACCTAGCAGTCACCCAGTACATATTTATCAAAGAAAGAAAATTATCTGCCCACTCTTAATGCCTTCAACTTGCATATTGTGCTTTCTGAAGCTACTTGTACTCTATGCTCCTAAATGCATCATTACCTTACGGCACACGACAGATAACTTTTTCAGTATCTGGATTTTTTTCCTCCTAACTGAAAAAGCTAAAATAAGCTATATTATTTAGCAATTAAAACAATGGTATTCCTTGTTATTAAAATGTTTAAATGTCAGCTCATTCATTACTTGGAGCCATCAGTAACAATGTCTTTCTTGTCTATAAAATTAACCAGCAGCTCTGGGCCTATGGTATGTGTCCTCAGAGAGTCAGCCACAGACCTGCCCTCTAAGCTTTTTGCCTTGGCTTTACCCATTAAAGTGGGAGACTGGAATCGTGGGAGCCTTGGTTTATTGATATTTGCTAATACCAACCATTTTATGATTCCCTCGTCCACCGTGTAACAAATGTGTTTTCACTTAAGGAGCAATGTAAGCACACATCGATTTTACTATGTCATTCTAGCTTTCATTCCAGTCTCAGAAACCCAGAGCCCTGAGTAAATTCCAGAAACAATCAAGGTATCATGGGGAGGCTTACCCACCCGCACTGGTGGTCTCCATTGCAATACCGATGATCTATTACTTGCTGGATTTCCATAATCTGAATAGAACTAATGGTTGTGTCAATCCCTGAATTGAGAATAGAGAAAAGAAAGTAAACTCTTCTGCAGAGGACAAGAGTATTGTGCTCCAGCAAAGTCTCCAAATTACTGAATGTGAAATAAGAGTTTCCTAGCTAAATGGGTTCCATTTGCATTCAAATGGAAAAAGAAGGAGAAGGGCAGGGAGAAGGCTTCTGTTGTTGTTGTTGTTATAGTAAATTTTAAGAAAACTAATAAAAATCCAGGTTCCAATAGGCAGCCTCATCACATCCAAAAGAATTTCTGGACCCTGGAAGTCCTACTAAATTGACATTTATTGAAAATGGAGAGTACAATATAAAATGCCATCTGGCCAATAAAGATGGCTTTTAAAAACTCAGAAAACAGAAAACAAGCTAAAAATACAGTAAGAATAGAAAAAAAAGGCAGAGAGTTCAAATAAATTATTCAAATCCATGGAGATAAACCTCAACAGATCCAGTAGTGAGAGACCAACTCTAATGTCTCCTTAATGGTTAGGTGGGCGTTGATTCTAAAAACATGATCCGTATGAGTGTTCTGGCAGGGTGCAGCCTTCATCCCTGTTCCTCACTCCAGTGATGCTTTTATGGCTTGTTGTTACTCTACCTGGCTCCACAAAGTCAAAGAATAGTCACGTAAATGTAAACTCACAGTCAGTCCCCCAGTCAGGGCTGGTTAGCGCATCTCTTGCCAGGAATGACATGCTTCTGTCTTCTGAAGAAGAAAATACTCTGTCAATCTTTAATGCTTGGTCAGGATGAGAAGAAACCTAGTAGGAGCCCCTCTTTGTCTCTGTCAGTTGAATGTTTCCCCTCACTTTCTCTCTCCCACCTTTCAACCCATCCAATCCCTACCCCATTTCTTACAGATCTAGCATATTCTCACCTTCTTCCAAGAAGCCATCTGTTTTGGGTTGATGTGTGATCCCCAAATTCTTACGGTGAAGCCCTCACCCCTGAGAATATGACTGTCTTTGGAAATAGGGCCTTTAAAGAGGCCGTGAAGTTAAGACAAAGCTGCTATGCTGGCCCTACTCTAATCTGACTGGTATCCCTCCCCATAGGAAGAGACAAACAGAGACACTAGGGGTGTGCAGAGACAAAAGACCTTGCAAGGACACAGCACAAAGGTGGTCATCTGTGAGTCTAGGAGGGAGGCTTCAGAAGAAACCAGACCTCCTAACACCCTGATTTTGCACTTCTGGCCTCCAGAATTGTGAGCAAATAAATTTTGTGGTTTAAGTTGTCCAGTCTGTGGTATTTTGTTATGGCGGCCCTAGCAGATCAGATCACTGCGGCCCACAGTCCCCTCCTTTCCAGTGTCACAGCATTACTACTGAACCATCTATATGGTGATTAATTAGTGATAGATCTGTCTCCACATCCAAAGCCTGTCATCTCTGTTTTATTATTTAACTCGTATGTATTTTTGCCCTTTCTTGACAACTCCAGAATAGGGAACCTCTATTAAAATTCTTTGATTCCTCTGTAACTCCTACCATAATGTGATCCACACAGGAAAAAAAGAACACTTAAAACTCAAGGTCAGGACTGTGCTGCAGCTGAAGAGAAGAGTCAGATCACTGGTGCAGGGCCAGAGCTCGCTTGTGAGGAAGGAAGTGGGGGAGTGGTTTTGACCCCATCATAGCCGAAAAGTCATTTTAAAAGCAATTTTGGAAAGGTAACTATTCAGATGATTGTTGTTAAGGTTTTGGGGAAAAAAACCCCAGATATCCTTAAAGTGAATAGTGAAAGCAGTTATTTAGTGGGTTGCTAAACAAGCTTTTAAAAAGAATTTTAAAGTTTTTGCATTTTTTAATTTTGCTGATTTTTCTCAAGTATGTGTACTCTTTATTGTATTCCTTCATTTGCATTAAATAATGTTTATATCTCTCTACACAGTTTTGGGGAAAACACAGACAGTAACCTCAATTAGGAAGAGACATGAGTTAATACAATGTGTGCTACTCTCGAAGAAAAGAGAGACAAGATCTTTTCAACTTTCTGTATGGAATTTCAGGGTAGAAAGCAAACCCAAGAGTGCACGTTACTTGGGGGCCATCACTCCTAAGTAAATCTGCCCTGGTTAGTACTTCTTACACTAGGCACACAGGCTTGTTTGCCTGTCAGCAAAACCAACCGTGAGCTTTTGGAACATCACACACATCCTGTGCACTGCCATAGCCCCAGGCAAGGCAATGCTGGGCTCTCCGCAGATGCTCAACAAATATTTGTGGGAGGATGGAAGGAAGAGAAGCAGGGAAAGATCATGTATACAGGGTATACATTTTTCATATACCCTGTAGAAAAATGTTTCCTCTTACACACTCAAAGGGGAAATTGCCAGCGGATGGGTACAGACGATGCTGGGAATGGATATGGGAACCTGGGCTCCTTTGCCCCATTGGCAAACGGGAGTGAGATAGAACTTGAAAGAGAGGCAGGTTTCCTCAGGATCTTGCCTAATATGATCCTTTTCATTAAGAAGAAATGGATCATGATACATGAGCATTTCCTAGAAAATTGAGTATATATTTCCCTTTAGATATAAATATATGTGCTGCCTAAAAGGCCTCTAGATTTCTTGGATTCCAGCTATTTCAATAATAATGGTCAGTACACATCCCCTGCTATGAGTTTTGCTTATGACTGCTTCCACAGAAGGCTGTGAATTTATAAAGCAAATGAGGCATGAAAAGAAGGGGAAACCAGGGGTGCCTGGGTGGCTCAGTCGGTTAAGCGTCCAACT